ATGTATTTCATATTGTGTATGTATTGCATATATATGTGTGTATGTGTGTGTGTGTGTGTGTGTGTAAAAGGATTGTTATAAGTTGATATGTCATTGAAGTAATATACTATATGTATCACAGTGCTGTGATTGAGAGAATAACCGCAACAGCTTTAATTTCTCTTTTTTTCTTTCTCTCCTCGTTTTCCGTCTTTATTCTCGGTTTTTTGAATTATCAAGTTTATTTACTGAAATTTTGTTTTCGCCATACGACAAACATCGTTCGAAACAGTTTGGAAGGAGAGCAATGTCCGAGGATTGAAGCCTCCGATTAAAAATAACAAGTTTCACAATATACATGTACATACATTACATATTTTTCTCGTACCCGTAAAAGTGTTCTTCTCAGATAACTAGAAATCATTCGTTTTTTTATGTTGTCCGTTTTCCTTAAAAGCTTCTGTATAGACTATAATTCGTTTTTTTTTTCATATTTTTATCGTGTTGAAAACATTAATCAATGTTTTTGGTCCCTATGTATATACAATTAAATACAAGCGCGTATTCTGTAGTGTGGAAAACATTTGAGAAAATATTTAATCGCGCAGAGCAAACTCTTTCCGAATATATCAAAAAGTATATCTATCCGTTTTCTCTATCTGTTAAAACGTGCCTATTACCCGGAGTACGAATAAGTTTAATCACAATCCTTAGGAATTAGTATTAGTAATCCTTTAGTTTTTGGTCTCACTTCTAACTTACGTCTAGATATATTGTCTCGCTGAAAACAAAATTTCGCGTGAAACCAACAAGTTCGTTTGGCATTTCTCTGTATCCCTTTGTTCTCACTCTTTTCTATGTGATACGCGACAGATACTTCTAAATCGTCGATTTGTTCGCATAGATGATTATTATTCGTATTATCACAAGTACCGAACTGCATTTAATTGCATCGTAAGATGATTCGTAATGAAGAGTTGATTTCTTGTAATATCAAAGATATTTCGAGAAAAGATATTTCGAAAGAAGAAAATGTTTCCTCTCTCTCGTCGTACCGTATAGATATCAATATTTATGAATGTATACGAGAAAAAATGATATTGCATTAGCAACATTAGCTAACAGTAATCTAATTGAAAATAATTTTGTTAATTTAATAATATTATTGGAACAAATAACATTTATTAAAAGAAGGGTACAACACACTTGTTTCATAAAT